GTTTGTATATGCTTATATACTGACATGACACTCTCTCAGAGCGTCGAGCTTGACCTGACATACATGTTTCCCCTTGTCTTGTAGGTGCAAAGGGACGTCAACACAGCACTTTCACGCTTGGGTTGGGTGATAGTACTGTGTGCTCTGTCGTTTTTATTGCCACAGTCAGTGCTGGACATGGCGAAGGTGTTCATCCCCGCGCGTGCCCTGGCCGCGTGGGAATCTTTGCGAAGGTGACAGGTACGCACCAAGTGCAGAAGCGTTGCTAAAACCCTAAACCGTAAAACCCAGATACGCATAAAGTGCAAAAGCGTTGTACTTATACACATGGCATACGCACTCCGCGCATACAATGCGCTGCGGTACGGCTGTAGGCTTACACGGATATCCAGTATTATCCTACAGTCAATGAGAGGTCTAGCGAAAATACGGGTGTAATCCATGTATATACCCGAAAATGCATGGTACCCGGATCTAGCCGTATGTATACAGAGATAGTTAGTAATCCGCAGTCACTGGAAATGTATATTCCCGAAAACGCACGGCACCGGGATCTAGCCGCAAGTTACAGAGCTACCAAGTATTCCGCAGTCAGTGGCAATGTATATGTCCCAAAATGCATGGTGTTGAGATATAGCCGCAATTATACGGAGATACCAATCATTCCACAGTCAGTGGCAATGTATGTACGCCAAAATGTATTGTACCCGGGCTTAGTCGCAAATATACGAGAGATTTCAAGTGATCCGCAATCAGTATTGGGCATGGCGAGGGACTTCGTGTCGGTACATGCCTTGGCCACTCAGAGAACTTTGGGAAGGAGGCTGGTCACACGTTCAAAGCAATGAGAGTATTGCATGCACACATAGTGCGCCATCAAATTATTATATTCACATATAATGCGCAATCAAATTATTATATTCACACATAATGCGCCATCACATCAGAGTATTATATTCACATATAATGCCCCATCAGAGTATTATATTCACATATATTGCACCATCAAATTAACATGCAATGAGCCATCAGAGTATTACATACGCAATCAGGGTATTACGTCCACATATAATGCGCTCGTGCCGCCGTAGTCAGCTGGAAATCTCTGCGGACGCGGTAGATAGTGAGATGAGAAGTCAACGTTTATTTGAAGAATACTACATAGTACGGATTGTACTGTGGTATAGCTTTAGCTACACACAAATGCACGGCAACTCAACCGCTCTGTGGTAAAAAGATAAGTTTCTTCATACCGGCACGGGCGCCTTGACCAATTGAACACCTCCGAGGGAGTGTCAGACAAAAGGAATGTACATATCTGATCAACGTACAGGTATTAAAATTTCTAGTACATAGACTGTACCGCAATTTGGCTGTGTCCATGCAGAGGGAACAAGTAGTTTTGAGCCACTAGAGGCTGTGGCGATGTTCGCCACTTCCGCATATGCACCTGGGAATCTCTGGAGAATGGGAAAATGCTACTTCAGTCGTATGTGTGTGAAATGCTTATCCAGAAGTGATCAAGTTGTGTACTTCGAATAACCTCAAATACATACTGCCTTTTGGTCTACCGCAAATTGTCTATACGTATACTGAACTGAAAGATAGCAATCTACAGTCTGTGAGCTCTCCATACCCACACTTGCAATATTTGCGGGGACCACCGTTGTGTTCCCATGTAAACATATATATAAATATATATACTTGCATACATACATACATACACACACACATACATACATACACACCACATACATACATACACACATTCAATACATATATATATATATGTAGATATGTATATATATATATTTATATTTATATTTTTTGTAAGGGCTGTGTGTATGGGTTGCATGGGTTTGATCGTCAAAGCATTGATGTAAGCGATGCATCTCAAAATAGTACGCCCATCAGAACAAGTAAAGGTTTCAGGCGTAAATTTAACTTCGAGAAGTAAGCCAGCATGCCTACCTATATGGTTGACGGATGTTACGGGGGTAGTAGAAAATATCGGGATAATACAAAAGTGAAACGATTCCCTCACTATGGCCATTCTGAACACGATATCTGTAAAAATAACAATTCCCATATGACTGGAATAGAATCGGGAAACATTAATTTGCGGATGTAGATGAACAAAGTTAGTGACCGACGAGTAGTGTGTTATAAAAAATTCATTGAAGAATACTGGTGGCCAGTGTCGGCGGATATTGCCAGGAAAGAGAAGGTACGTAATGCACGTATGAACTCATTTACAACTCTTTACGAAAACTTCGACCTAATGCGCAGCCATCGCTATTTTTACAGTCAAGAACTCCGGAGCCATATAGTGCAATTGGCAAAACGGATCATAACCGAAAAAAAGGAACGAACTACGTGAGAGAAGACGCGTTGTTAAACAAACACAACATAAAGATGTAAAGCGAATTGGCCTTGAACGAGACATGACAGACGATCAGATTTAGTCGATAAAATCATTACACACTTGGGCTAAAGAACAGAAAAGTTGGACAATAATAAGTATCAAAGCGGCATACGTATGTATCGCACCATTCTTGGCACAAATGGGGATATGGACGATACGACATATATAAATATTGGATATGCACACCAGTTTTGCTCATGTCTAAGAACAAGGATTTCAACGTTCCACAATTATATCATAAACAAAGAATTACGGAATCAAGTAAATACGGAGAGAGGCACAATCGACAGCAGGTAGCAGGAACAGATGCAAATGACACGTACAAGAATCAGGACATTGAACATGCGGGTGATAAGAATATCATTGAAGAGATACAAACAGACTTGCGCAAATCAGCTGTCACTCGGGTCAATTTTCTTGGAAGCCAGATAGGACTTTAAATGTCCGGTGCGCGAAGGTTTGATGGGTGCACACTGCACAATGATGTTTGCGCTTAGCTGGTGCATGTCCTCACCTGGTGGATACAAAGCTGACAGACAGACAAATACACATATATTGTTGCCTTCTCCTAAGCTGTTTGGGGAGACTAGTCTACCTGTAGACTGTATATCATTTCTAGACCTAAATAGTACACACACACAAGTATTGCGAAAAATACTACAGACCAGCTTGTAAACAAATAAAAAGTGTAAGTAGTGGGCTTACTAAATCCGTGGGTATGAAACGAGCTATGAAGCTCAGTAAGTTCAGAGATGTACACGCAGAGAAATCAACAGTAATTGCTTATTACAACAAAAGAATGGCCAAATATTAGGCCTAGCACACAACAAACCAAAGTCACCAGCGTCACACGTGAGCTGCGTCACTATGTCAGGTGTCATAAGTAAACAGCACAATGCACTACTTGCAGTGCCTGGTGTGCGCACCTAAGGGCGAGTACCTATAGCACAACTCATGAGAAGGTTGAAACGACCGTCACTGTCGGACAAAATTCTTTGGCGATGATCACAAACGAAGCAGCGCCGAACAGGAACGCAATAGGACGTTTAGCAACGCAGTATGGACCGGAAGAATTCAGGATTTACGAAGTACCAACAATTAAGATTTAGTTAATCTTCTCACGATAAGTGTCTACATATCACCTTTCATATACATATTGCAGTGTGATTATTGGGTCTATATATATTTCTGCTATGTACATATATTAAGATATACGCAATAGTTGGCAAACCGCAAAGGAGTGGAAGCTGATATACCCTAATTTACTGGACGTTTATGGGTGTATCATGAACAACAGAAACTTGAGGCGTATGCAACTTGCAGCCTCAGCAAGAAAGCTGTCTTTACCGGCAGCTTGGGAGAAACAACAGGCCAGCGCTGCAGTGTCGGGTATGTCACTACTACAACTATTTGCAGTGTTCTATAATGCCAAATGATAACTATGAACTAATCCATTTTACAAACACGGATTTCATCGAATCAGTACAGACAGTGCTTCCCCTAAATGATTAAAAATGCACATTAAGAGACCATTCGGATGATCCGGTCCGAAATACTTTGTGACACACACAAGCCATCTCTGCCGAAACATCAAGAAATCAGAACTTTCAATGAACAATAAAAAAGTATTCTGGAAACTACTCAATATTAGGAATAGCCGTATAGAAAAACGAAACTCTGATACCGTGTTTGAAGTGACAATAATGTGTGATATATAGGCGTGATGCTCCTAATTCCCTTATGATTACAATTATGTGTGCTACTCATCATGTATATGGCACTAAAATTGTACAATATTCTCGCAAATGTTTAATATCAGGATGCAAAAAGTGATCGACATGTTAAGGTCCTGAACTTCATACTACAGCGGTAGTTAGAATCATGGGAGTGCTGGGGAAATCAACACCGAGAGGAGGGGAGAGAGACGGGAGGTCGTGGTAAAAAAGTGCACTACAAACTTCTGCGAAGATTTGTCATCAGAGAGCCTTTTACCAGCCTTACACACCTTCCGTGCTATAGGCAGTCAAATCAGGAATCAACTTGATGAGTCGGGGTTTGAATATGTAATCACTGGCGATGCATGTAGTAATCGCATTGAATTGCACTTTGGTGCTGCTCGCCAAGCAAACGGGGGTGAACCAAATCTAGATGTGACCGACATGTGCAAGCATGAGTGGAAAAGAACAGTATGTAGGTGAGTGGATCGTGCAATCGTTAACAAAGCTCGAGATAAATTTGACATAGAGCCTGATGACCACTAACAACATTGATGCCATGTTAGTCTCCTATCACGAACAACCGGTCAGTGTAATACAGATGTACGAGAGACCAGTATAACCTTACATCGCGGATTATTGTGCCAAAAGGTTATATTTGTGCTATAAAAAAAGAGGTAACAAAACAACAACAATGCTGTGAAGTATGCATTGCTTGTGTGAGAGTGGACAAAAACTAATCTATTGATGACGTGAGTAGTGTAGAAACGATTGAGTACCCAAAGAGAACTATTGAAATACATGGAGCACGACGAACTAACTTATCCAACTCCGGATGTATGTGCTAAGAATACTTAGGATCAGTTTTAATTATGTTTTATTTGATGCTTTAGAAAAAAACTTAGTTTGTTCGATCAGAATTTCTGATCGGTTATAACACAAGATTAGTCAATAAAGGTACAATGACTCCCCTTGCAGGAGGGGGGTACGTTGAGATAGAAAGTGTCTTGACTACATTTTTAAAAAGCTTATAGAGTTGTACAACTATTGAAGTATCCAGGAACTAGAATAGCACATAGATAAGGAATAGAAGTATAGAGAAGAAAAACAAAAGGAGAAATGACCGACAATTTTCTTGTTCTATATTAAGATCAGCAGAGATGGTCGAATCCTTCATTCACCGCCGGGACCACTTTGAATACTACGCGGACGCTTCAAGGAGTAGAAGCGGACAGTGTTATAGGAAGCAGCGACTCTAACTATAGCATGCCGGCGCTGATGTATGACTCGAGTAGTGAGCAAGACAACACAGAAATGATTGTGGTACACAGGGATGCACATGAAGCATTGAAAGGACGTCATAATAGACGTGACCATGGGAATGGTTGGCAACGTGCGGCACCCAGGAGAGGTATTGATTTTAGGCCAATATTTAGACGGTTGGAATACGAAGATTACGTGGCACGGTTCCGGGAAATCATCAACAGAAGACTCGTGTAAAACGAACACGAAAATGAAGAAGCCAATGAAGATATGGAGACACATGAACAAGAAGGACCAATCACAGAGGAGTCATAGTATGAACACATCACCCGTAGGTACGTTTAGTCACACGGGGTTGTAAGTAAACATGTGACGATGTGTGTGCATGAATTAACAAAGGTGAATGAATTCGACCAGCAACTAATTGCTGCGATGGAGTGACATGACGGATTTGTTTATGTGAACAATCAGGCCAATAATAGGGAACAAGTAGTAAGACAAAGTGTCTGGATATAAGTGCATGTAAGAAGGACCGAGGCGATGTTTATATAGTATGTGTAACACATGAATTTATAGAAATGAAGTTATGAAGAAAATATTGCACCATAATAACTAGAGGTTCACAGGTATATATGTGAAGTTGACATCTTTGGAATCTGACTTGAAAAGTAGTATATACGAGTATATACGTACTGTACAGTATATGTCTCTATACAATACTACAAACTGTCGCCCACACACAAGCAAGGCGGGATTATTTTCATAAATAATCAGTACCTCGAATGTATCCCAAGTAGCGAAGAAATAGTAGGATACCAACCAGCAATACTAGCGTACGACGCTGGTAATACGCTACGATGAACGTGGATAATGTTAGTGGAGTTAGACGCATGCTCTTGGTACAGTGGGTTATTACACAGGGGGAGGAACTCCTACGCAACACGACGAAAGACAAGAGAGCCCGAGTAAGTTTGGGAATACCATGAAGTGAAATTGCTCATCGGTGGAGTAAGGGCACATGTTTACACTGATAGACATGTGGCAAAACAGTTATTCTGACACAGAAAAAGTGTAATTAAGGTCGAAGGATAAGGGTGCGGTAGTTTATTGCTCACAAAGCAACAAATTCGGAATATTGAAAAACCATTATCATGCCATCGACGCAACAAAGCCGCCGTCAGCAGAATCTTTTGCCAGAGCAGCAGGAGCGGCGCCAACACAATACTGATGGTCAAACTCGTGGCTCAAGAAACATAAGTCGTCCAATCCGTGTTGGACAATAACGAATCCCAAGCAAACCAGACGCTCTTGCGGCGCACACTGCAGAGCTACCAGGCACGCGTGCAAGATGGTGTAGGGAAAAACTTCCCAGGTGATCTGGCCAGTGACGTGCAACCTCAGAAGAGACGTTCGGCAGGTGTTAACAACTTGCCGAACGTCTATGTAACATTTTGCATTTTAACGTATCAACGTATTGTCTTATTAACGTAAACGTCTTGGTATCACCGACTTTATTTTAACGTATCAACGTGCCGAACGTCTATGTAACATTTTGCATTTTAACGTATCAACGTATTGTCTTATTAACGTAAACGTCTTGGTATCACCGACTTTTACACATACGCGCGAACGTCCATATGTCTGAGACTATCCCGACTGTGGTACGAAGTTTACTCAGGTAAACGTCCGTATGCCTCTGACTATCCTGGGTATGATATGACTATCTTAAGTGTGTGGAAAACCGCTCACCGAGTCTGGCAATTTGATTATACACAAACGCGTGCACTCTGGCAAACATCCATATGCCTGTGATTATCCTGGGTGTGAATAAGAGCTCGCTTCTTCTGGTGATTTGATAAAAAACAAACGCGTGCACTCTGGCGAACGTCCATATGCCTGTGACTATCTCGAGCGTGAAAAGCGTTCGCTTCTTGGAAAGCCCACAAGCGAGTGCACTCTGGCAAACATTTATATACCTGTGACCAACCCAAGTGTGGTATGACTTCTATTGTACACTCTGGCGTATGTTTATATGCTCCAACTATCCCGACAGTGGTATGAAATTCAGTCAGTCTGGTCATTTAAAAAAACACAAACGTGTGCACTCTGGCAAACGTCTCTAGGCTTGTGCCGTTCGTGTTGCAGAGAGTCCAGATTGGGCTGCTCAATTCCGAGATGGTCTCTTTAGATGCAATTTTATGCATGGACAACTGTTTGAACACATGGCCGTTGTAATAAGCCGAGCCCCCCCATTAGACTCTATATATAAACGTACTATTAAGCAGTACGCAAATTATAAACGTGCTCTTAATAGTACGAGGAACTTAAGTTTCCTAAATGTACTCTTAACAGTACGAGAAACTTAAGTCTCCTAAATGTGCTCTTAATAGCACGAGGAACTTAAGTTTTCTTAAATGGGTTTTAATGGTTTTATTAATTAAACCTTTTCCATTTAACATATCAGATATTTGGATGAGGCCATTGAAAGACCTCAGTAAAATACCAAACATAAAAGAGTTAGTCTAGTTCTATTAATCGAGCTTTATTTACTTTCCAATTTTATTTATATCTGAATACTTCGGTAGCGAGATGGCTCAACCGAATATAGGTTTCTAGGGACTATTAACGTTACCTAGTTGATCCTCCGGTAAGCCAACCAGATGTGCCAGTCTGATGAAGGCTAATTCGGTAATTCTTGATAGTGGCAAGTTATTGATTAAGACAATAACTAAGGACGTCAAGAGTATTTTTCTTTTTCTTTTTTTTCTTTTCTAAAGATAGGATTTTATGAGTCTCTCGGATTCGCCCCAGAATAGAGCGACAACGAAACACTAAATAAAATCCCTTCGACGGAAACAGTACTGAGAGGATTATATATAGGCAATGTCTCAGCCTCACAATCCCTCAAAGTATTGCTGTTTTCACGAGGCAAACCTAACAGTATTAAACGTCTCATTTCGTTTATTTATATCGATATTTACACGATATTTAGAATTTACCTACGCGTTTATTTATTCTAAGGCATTAGCATCGCCTTTATTAGACCGAATCTTACACCGTCGGCGCAGTGCGAGTAGGAGACTGTACGTCTGTCGTTCGCTTTTCATCGACACGCCACCTTCACACGCTCCTTTTATGAGTTTGCTATCTATATGGTGTGCTATGCTAGTGAAAACCGTAAAACCCTAAAAACGCTCGTCGTACGAGTTTGCTCACTGTAAAACATGGTATACCTTGCAAGTGTGCAAGTGTGTCGTTTTTACTTGTGGAGCGCTAAGTCATACAAATTCAGCGTTGACCAGCACCAGGGCTGTTTCTTCTACTTTCAATTGTGCGCGCTCTAACACTGATTGAGGTGGTTGAAGCACTGAACAATTATCGTACTAAGATATTCCAGCTCACTTTCGGAGTACTCTAAATATGCATATTTGAAGCAGATGGTGGCTGCTGGGGCCATCGTGGTATGTGTACTTGAGTGGGATGTAAAGTACAGTTGTTGCCACTACTTGATCTACATGGTTGGCACTGTACATCTTCAACGGTTTGTAGATCACCACACCAAAAACATTATATATGCAATATGCGAGCACAATTTCATCTGTCGCAATATGAGCGAATGAGCTGAACGTTGCCACGGACATCTGTAAGTGCTAGTTCAACTGTGTTTATAACCTTAGACCAGCTAAGTTATATGTGTTTCATCAGTTGATCAGTTCAGTGGTTGTTGATATATACTGGCTGAGAAGTAGTATACAGGCACACACGTGTTTATATTTGTACACATGTGTATATATATTCGCACATGTGTATATATTTGGATCGTTTCTACAATAAACTGACCACTGTAGAAATACGG